ATAGGTCACACAAAATTAACCCATCAGTACATAATAGCCAAATCTGACAGACCGCGATGTGAAAATTGTAATTCAGAATTATCCATTAAACATATTTTGCTGGAATGTCCAATTGCTGAAAACATCAGAACCCAAGTAAAACTTCCTGTAGGTATTAAACAATGTTTCAATGTAAGAAAACATGTAAAATGAATAATAACTTATCTTGAGAAAATCAAAATAATTAAAGATATTTAGTATGTAATTAGTCTTAGGTAGTTTAAAATTGTTAGATAGAAGAAAACCAACTGATGTATGTGAAATACAATGTAATAAGACATAAGATGTAACAATCTATTGCAATGTGATCGCTAATGGCTAAAAAGCTGATGCGACATTAAATAAATAAATTAAAAAAAAAAAAAGATTGTGATTTATTTCATTGATTCATAATACTTGTGTCAGACATCGTGTGTCTCCGACATATACGCAGAAAACCCCGAACTGAAAACAGACGAACAACATGACCGACATCCGGGCATGTCAATTTACAAACATAAAAAAGACTAGATTAGACAAAATAAAAGAAATAATGCAATTCTTAACAGAAAGTACAGTGTAAAGTGGTGGAAATATTGTTCAAAGAATGTATTTTTAATGCATATGAAATATTTATGTTAAATACTCCGTGTTGCCAGAAAAAAATGTGAAAATATCTGCAGTTTCGTGGAATTTAAAGGTAACAATACGGACAAAAGGAATCAATTTCGAGCATGTCGTGCAAATACAGTAAAGAGTAATAAATACAGTAGAGCCCCCCCAAAATATCCGAATCCTTCTTATCCGAATGTTCTGTTATCCGAACTGCGTGAAAAAGTTCTCTTTAAATTAATGAATAAATAAACACCGAAGCATTCGTGGCATTTGAAAAAGGACTCCGGTGATTCAGCAGCGAAAAAATATGGTATCCTTTAACCTTTCGCATTCGAGAGATGACTCCCAGTCACCATTAAGGTTCACGCAGAAAATCTACAATACCTAATGTTTCTTTACGTTTCATTTCTTTGGAGTTCGAAGTGTCAATAAAATGATTGTCGGTGAAATAATGGTGACCTTATTCTCAAATCTAGATAGCTTAGAATTCACTGCAATAGATACCAGGAAAAAAGGGCCTCGAGTGCAAAGAGTTAATTGAAATTTCATATAAAAAAGGCTTGAGCCCTTTTTTTAGTGCTCAACAATGTTCCTCTTTCTCCAGTGTGCGCGCAATAAAAAGAGGACGCCAGAGCCGACTGGTTAAGCAACAACATCAGGGGTAAAACCCTTTCTGTTTCGAGTCAGTTACCGACTTAAGAAGTTGTAAAAACGAAGAAAACACTTCAACACCGACTACCGCGATCGTGATGGCGAGCATGAACGAGTTTCCCCATTACTCCCTGTTACACGTGCAACGCGTGTATTCGTTGCGCCGAGTAGTAGCCGTGGGCAAACTAGTTGTACATAGTACATGTTAGGTTGTCGCACACGGTCGAGACGGAGGGTTAGTCGGAAGCTAAAGAGGGTGTTTTCGACGTTGAAGGATGGCGCGTCTCTCGGAGACGCACCCGGAATACCTTTCAGCGCACGTACATTCATAAGTACACACAGAGACGGATGCGACTCGATGTAACGATCTGTATCTCTCTTCTCTGTACCTTTTGTCTTCTCTCGATTTCGGATCCCGCTTCTCAGTCAAACACCGCACCCGACCGTACAAGTGTTTGCCGTATGGCAACGTAATGTATCCTTGTCTAACGACAAATCCATTTCTCCCTCTTGACGAGATGTGTTTATCGCGATTTCACCTCTAGGTGAGGATTTCTGGTTAGAGACGGAGGAAAATTGCTGAGGCACGTCGTGAAACGTTGCGGGACAATTTGTATCACAGAAACGAAAACGCGAGAGTGGTTTGATTGTATGTAGGTAGGTATTTTCTAATTATTCTGAACTGTTTGGAACAAGATGAACGTTGCATGTACACCCTTGTTTATAAGTATATGGAGACTTACTGCCTTCAATGAATAACATTAGTTAACAAAATAAAAAAAAAAACAATGTACATTCAATGCCACCATTTTTTTCTTATGTATTTAGATACATTTTTTTTTTTATATAAATTTTTGAATTTTTTTCGATTTTTTTCTGACATACATTCACATTTTAGGCCATATCTCGAGTTAGAAACGTCCGATTGAGTCGCGCAAGACGCCATTTGAAAGGTGATCGAATTTACAACAATTGCTTTTGACATTATTTTCCAATCGATACAATAGTTTAAGTGTTACGAGCCAATATATACAGGGTGTCCAAAAACTCGGGGAGGAGCCGGAAATGGGGGGTAGCTGTGACGATTCTGAACAACAATATCCTTTGCAAAAATGTCGGATGGGGCTTCGTTAAGGAGATATTAAGCGAAAACCCCGACCAATCAGAGCGCGCGTAGACCGTTGGAGCGGCCGCAGTAGCGAAGGCTACGCGCTAGGTCGATGCTTTGATGCACGTCGAGTCACTTGTTCGCGTGCAAGCGCGGCCGCCAGCGCGTAGCCTACGCTACCGCGGTCGCTCCAACGGTCTACGCGCGCTCTGATTGGTCGGGGTTTTCTCTTAATATCTCCTTAACGAAGCCCCATCCGACATTTTTGCAAAGGAAATTGTTGTTCAGAATCGTCTCAGCTACCCCCCATTTCCGGCTCCTCCCCGAGTTTTGGGACACCCTGTATATGAGAAACTTTGATTTTTTCGGCTAAAATAGAACACGAATATTTCTTCCATCGCCATGGAAAAATAGAAATTGTCAAATTATGTCCAGTTTCTTATTGTTTACGTACAGATCGCATTTTTACGAAGAAAACAATCTTTTGATGAAGAAAATCTATGGATAAATACCGGAGTTAGGAAAACTTGAGTAAAGGTACAAAAATTCCAATTTTAGTCTAAAACCTTTTTTGTTCTGAAATCATTTTTAATTGATACTTCCATATCTTCACTATGATCACGTAAAAGATCATTTTCATCCATTACCTAGTTCAATAGCTATATTTTAAAAAAAATGGTATCACAAAACTTTGAGATACGTTCCAACTTTCCAAATTTTTCAAAATCCTTTGAGATACGTTCAAATATCACTAAAGACTACCCTTCAAATTTCGTCAAAATCTGAGATGTCACTCCAAATGTGTCCGAGTTGACATGGAATAACTCAAAGGGAAATTGAAAATTCCTCCTTTGCTCTTTCAAACGATAAACTTGGAACGAACTGAGAAACTTGATTTACAAGCATACAAATAGGAATTGTTGATGTTATGTAACTATATATTTTCTTCGTTTGTTTATACTACCATGCTTTAGAATAATAATTCATAAAAATGAGATCTTGAGTCGCCCTATGTCAGAAGTAACCGTTGAATTCGGAAATGTCAGTTTCTATTCACAGCAGCATTTCTCACGGAAGAGATAAATTTTCAGCAAAGAAAGTTAATTTCTTCTTAAAGACGAGAATGTTCGCATTTTCAGGAGCGTAAATTACATGTGTACATCTGAAGAATTTAGTGGGATTTATCTTTGAAGACGTTTCTCAAGTTGCTCGCGGAGCGAGGTTAAGGATGTTAATTGGCCTCGCTTAATTATTCTTCAATTACATTTTCTACCGCGCCTTGCTCTCACACCGCTCGTTCTTTTCTATTTCGATTCTTTCTAGCGAACACGTAGAGCGCAACGTTATACGTATAGCTAGACGAATATATATGTTACTCTGTGAAGCAATTTGCGGTAACTGTACTACGAATAACACCGAAAAAGGAAGAAAGACGTTACTTTGCATGGACGAGTTATACCATCGTCAATTTTTTAAACTCTCCAGCTGTTATCGTTTAAAAGAGAACATCGTCTCACAGGCAGAAGATGATTCTGATATTTTGTAATATTTAGTGAATATATCGAATCACTAATACGAAAGTTTGATACATACAGTAGGTGTAGAAAGTATTCGTACATTGATCAATTTACAAAAAACTATGTGAAATTGTAATTTATTAACTTCTTTTTTATTATCAATTATATTCTACATATTGTTAAAACAGTATTCTTACAGTATAAAAAAATATTAGATATTTATATAAGTTGCGAAATTAACAAGGGAAAACGATAAATCGATAGAAATATAGAAGCAATAAGTACATTCGTACGATTGTTAAATTTTTAAAGTTTCATAAAAAAGAACGAAATTTACATTAATTTATAAATAATTACTAATTAAATCGTGAGATTTCGTTTTGATTATATAATTGCTGCAACCCTTCTAGGAATTAAATTAACTAATCTCGATGTTATTCAGGGTGGAATTTTCTTCCATTTCTCTATTAGAGCATTTTTCAAAACTTCTTTACTGGAAATTTGATGTTCCGTAATTTTTACGAACCAATGAACCGATGTGCTTATGTTACAAGCTCTACTGTAAATTGTTCGTCATAAGAACCGTACGTATACTTATTAAGAAGGGGTTCTGCCTTGTAGGACTGAAAAAGTAGGTAATATTTGCAAATTTTTTATAAAAAGCATAGAAGTGTAAAACGTTACATTTCTATATTTCTGCCGATTTTTCGAATCATCTTGTTAATCTCGCAAATTATATAAACTAGTAATTGTTGTTTGGACTATATCTATCATTGACTATAAAAAAGAAGTTACTAAACCGCAATAACACACAAAAGTTTTTTGAGAAATTGATCGCTGTATAAACAGACTCTACACCCACTACATATATTAACATATACGTTAAAAATACTTGCATAAGTTCTTTCAGTAGTATTTCTTATAGTAATGATATAAACAATTGTTTGTTCGAAGATAATAATTGTATGAAGAACAAGAAGATTCGAATTTGATCACGGTTAATTTGTTTCCGCAAGTTAGAGAAAATTCAGCACTTCTCTTAACAATATCAGCCTCGTGTTTCTTAAACAAGGTAAATTAATATCGCTTACCTGTTCAACCCATAGATTCGTAGTCATGATCTGATTCTTCAAGTTCTGCAACAACAAAAAAACAGGAAAATATTGATTATTTACAATATTGCAATACACATTTACAACTTGAACATTAATAAATCACAGGAAAATATTGCGTTATTTACAACGATACACGTTTACAACTTGAACATTAATAAATCACAGAAAAATATTGCGTTATTTACCACGATACACATTTACAATTTAAATAAATTTCGATCGATCATTTGTTGCTGAGACACGCATTTTTTAAATGACCTCGACTATTTCATCAACCAACTGGAACTCTGCCTTAGGTTACTTTATCGAATAGAACAAGCTTTACATTCGAATAACGCTGATATCGAAGCACACAGCGACGGTCACATTGATTGAAAGTTCGTCTATCGAATCTTTACTCGTTTCTTACCACCTTGATACCTCTGAGGCGTTTACGTTTCACAGCTGTCACAGTTTCGTTCTTCTTGCGAAAGAACGGATACCAAACTCATTAAAACTTGCGCAACCCTGGTTTAAATTAGCAGAGACGCACGGAGAAAATGTCTCAAATATTTCTTAAGGATCAATTTAAACAATAATTAATAATCGAATTTTGTAGCTCCGAACCTTGTACCATTGTAAATTTATGATGTTTCTTTCGAATGAAAAATTAAATTTGTGTTTTGAAAAGGTTTCATAGCAAGCTTTCACAGTGCATGATAAAAAATGAGGTGTTCCATTAAAAAAATCATGTTGACCTTGACGTGACTTTGACCGGTCCTTTGAAGGTCAAACGGACACGATCGTTCAATAGAATTTTTGAAACCCTAAAACATTTCTCTAAACCATTTTTCTCACAAATGTTCCATTTGGGAAATATTTCACTGTTTCCATACTTTTGGAGCACCCTGTATGTATACATGTGTTATACATATGCATACAAATGTAATAATAGTAATATATGTATATATATATTATTTCCGTTTAATTATTCGCTCATAAATTTATATTCTCCGATTTAGATTGCGTTATCGAGTTAAGTTTTCTTAAAAAAAACTAAAAATCTATTGGACCGAATTAGAACAAAATTTAATCAGCTCTAAGTTAGATTGACACACATCGATTGCATCATCGATCATTTTGATCTCGCTATTAGTTTTTTAGAAAACGTTAACGAAAAATTTATTTACATACGTACACACACACACGCGCGCGCGCGCTCACCCATACGCGAACAATTTGTTAAATATAGGCTGAAATTACTCCAATGATCTTGAAACATGGAAATCTGCTAAAAAATCGATTTTTCGTTTTAGGGACAAATACAATAACTTCCCTATAAATCGGGAAGTTAAACATTTAATTTAAATGTTTTATATGGAACACATAAAGAATAAGCTTGTCGCTCGCACTTTCTCGTCACCTTCGCAACGTATTTAAATCAGAGACAATTGGACCGTATATAAGATGAATGAGCGTTCAGTTACTCGCGTCATTTATTCGCGTCATTTATCGCTAAAAATCACGCGGACCTCCACGGAAAACGGAAAGTATTTAAAGCGCGTTAATCTACAGACAATGAAGGGATATCGGTGCTGCGATTTATCGCAGGCGCTATTTGAACGCCACGCCATGCCGTGCCACACCGCGTCAAAAGTCTATTACTCCCGAACACCGGCAACGCTCTGAGTGCAACGAACTTCCACCGCTTTTGCATTCCGATACCTATATATGTTTTATTGAGAAACTCGTCGAACAATAACGATACAGATACAATAGTAACTTCCACCGGCACTTTCGCTAGCTTGTTCGGAAACGAAACTCGATTTTACGAAGTGTTCACGTATTACAACTTTTCTTCGTATTATACGTAAAGTAATTTCGTCTATGGAAAATCTTCGAAGCCGATAGAAAAAAGAAATTACCGATTTTTAGGTAGTTGTTTTGAGATAGTCACGTTCAAAAGTATCATTGAAAAGTAAATTGTGAAGGGACAGGGTGTTGCAAAATTATGTATCACGATTACCATAACGCGATTCTGCACATTTGAATCGGTGGAGATTTGGTAAGGAGAGTGGAGATAAAATTAAACTTAACCGACTTTTTGAAGGTCAAAGTTTTTTTTTTCTTTTTTTAAACCTGTAGAAGTATGCCAAGACGATTAACTGCGGTTATTGATACCAAGGGTTAATATACCTATAAAATACTAAAACTGTTGGACGCTAAGTCACGTTTTTAATCAAGTGTACTTTACACATATTCTATAATTAATTTTCTAATGGATATTTTGTCCTACATGTTTCATATTTTTGTTCCCTAATGTAACAATGCAATGTATATATTGAATACGTGTTCATATACTGCATGTATTACTACCAAATACATCATGAATAAATAAAAAGTATAGTCATTGTAAGAACTACCCGTGCAGCAATCAATATAAAATAAAATCAACAAGAAAAGAAATAAGAGGTTAACAGTGTAAATAATAAACTTTAACTCACGCAAATTCTACTCTAAAAATATGTAGGAATGTTGGTTAATTATTTTATCCGCTAAAATTTATTAAGTAAAATAAATATATGAAATTTTATTTTGAATTAATTCCTATACGAATACTTATTACACTGACTTTATAAGAAAAGTAAATGTTTAATCAATTTCGTGTCACTGTTGTGTATCCCATTGACATTTTCACGTGTCTATTTATTAGTTAGAACATTTAATTAAGCATACGTATATGTATCAATAATATTGATTCAATATCTCTAAAGATGTTAATGCACGTCCCTACAATACTGAGGTAAAAATAATTTTTACTCAATGTAGACGTCGACAAAAATCATTTCGTCATTGGTATGAATAAATGAATATTGGTGCATATTTGCAAATCGACGAATTATTTAATTATTTTTTTACTTACTACACTATCAAAATTTAGTACGAAAATTGCTTTAATACATTTTTTATCTAGCTAAATTAATAAAAGAGACGATAGCGTGAGGAGGCTGTAAGCGGAGCATGTCGAGCACGGCGAGCGACAGGACGAAAGTGGACTAGAAAAAAGTTTTGAAAACTTTTGTGCAATCGTCACACCACGACGAACACGACTTTCGTACACGGTGAGAGTTATCCATAGCGCTCTCAAGACATAAATCATGTGACGAAAAGCTTAATATTTTCCCACGACAAGGTAATTTTAGTCTAATTAAAAATGACTGCTGTATGAATTTTATGTATTACAGAATACTGTGCAAAGTTAGATTAGTTGAAGTAGTTGATCTACATTTTCTGGCTCTCTTTTTCTTCGAGCTCTGTCCAAATAATCTCAGGGATGTTTAGTAATATTTCAGTCGGGACTTTCAAGTGGCCAACTCATAACTATTAATGTTCCATTCTTCTCTGAATCTTTCAAATACTCGGGGATAACGTAGCTTTCTATTCCTTAAAAAATGTTAAAATCGCTTCAGTAGTTCCAGAGATTACTCGCTGCGTATAAATACTTTCGCCTCTTTAATAATAATGGGTATTCGAAAAAGTTCGTGGCGTTTTGTCGTTCGATCAAGGCGAGAATCCTACGCAGGCTTGTGAACAAATTTGTGGTTTTTACGGACAAAATGCTCTATTAAAACTTTGGTGTCAAAGATGCGCTGTTTGTCATGCTGTGGTCCAGTCACAAATCACAGAACGATGCGATGAAATCATGCAAATGATTGAGAAACGCCACGAATTTTTTCGAATACCCAATATATAATTGCTATATCACTTGGTAAAACTAAATTTCGTCGACTACACGTGATGATTTTGTATACATATACTCATACTGGCTAATAATACCTGTATTAATACTGCGTATTCGGAATGCTATCAATTCGTTTCGACTCCATGAATGTTTGCTGATAACAAATAATTTTTTTGCAATACAAGATTGTACGTGGAAAGCCTTGTATTTAGGCATGCTCGTAGAAGTTGAATGAATTTGCGAAGATTCTAGTCTTCAATTTTTGCCTCAAACAGATTTTCTTGTTGATGATATATTTACATTGTCGATGCACTTATAAATCGCGAGAATAATGCAAAATTGATAAAATATTAATCATTATAGAGGATGTCTCAAAAATGTTGGAACTCCTTGAAAGGCGTGGTTCGGGGGGTGATTTGAAACAACTTTTTCCTTAGCGAACATGTTGTCCGAGGCTTCGTTAAGGAGTTATTAACAGAAAACCCCGGACCAATCAGAACGCGCGTATACCGTTGGAGCGGCCGCGGTAGGCGTAGACTACGTGCTAGGCGGCCGCGCTCATACGCTACCGCGAACGCTCCAACGGTATACGAGCGCTCTGATTGGTTTATTTGTTAATATCTCCTTAACGAATATCGAACAACGTAGCATCGGACAACGTTTTCGCTAAGCAAAAAATTGTTTCAAATCACTTCCCGAACCACCCCCTTCAAGATGTTCCAACATTTGTAGGACACCCTGTATAATATACTAGCATATGTATACAGGGTGTCCCAGAATTAATGTAAGAACCGGAAATGGGAGGTAGCTGAGACGATTCATGAACCACAATTTCCTTTTTAAAAATGTCGGATTGTTGCTTCGTTTTTGAATTATTAACAAAAATCCATCAACCAATCACAACGCTCGAGTAGCGCGCTTACCTGCGAGAGTTTGTAAATTTCGATAAAATTATCAAATGTATTATCCATACGTTGACATTTCTTATTTATAATACGTATATAAACCTAGAAGTAGTACAGTGCACGCATACTACATAGAATCTTCAAACTCGATTTTCTCGAAAACGAAGCGTCAAACGAAAAAATGTTATTCTATTTTTTCGACTTATTTTTACATGTAGCATCACTCTCTGCTGGGTTGTACCGCCCGTCCGGCCACACCCTGTATATATCTACTAGCATACGTATATAAAGTGCGATAACAAATATACAAATCATATCTGTATATATCATTATGTATACCATATTTTTCAATCTATTTCGTTCAACACAGATATTTTATTAATTAAACGTTCCAT